AGAGTTAATTTTTTTCCTAATAGCTACTGTAGTGCTGTGTTTTGGATTTAGTATGAGAATAATGTTGATAATGCACCGATGTTTTTAGTTGTTGCGAAGCGGTTATAGTGCTTATACTCAGTCAAGGACTTTTCAGCTCCCCATGCTGTGCCAGCGGGGAGGTGCACAAGTTGCTGGGAGGGGACACAGCTGGGACAGCTGACCCAGGCTGGCCAAAGGGATATTCCCCACCATGTAACGTCATGCCCAGTACATAAACTGGAGTTGGCCGGGGGGCAGGAATCACTGCTCAGGGACGGGCTGTCAATCACCGGGTGGTGAGCAATTGTTGCATTGTGCATCACTTGCTTTTGTATATTCCATTATTATTATTATTATCATCATCATCATCATCATCATCATCACCATCATAATTTCCTCTTTCTTTGCTGTGCTATTAAACTGTTCTTATCTCAACCCATGAGGTGTTTTTTTCCGATTCCCTCCCCGATCCCCCCTGAGGGTGAGCAGTGCAAGTGAGTGGTTGTGTGGTGCTTAGTTGCCAGCTGGGGCTAAAGCATGACCTCACTTAGGAAGCAGGTAAAGAGGGGATTCATATAGTTCATGGATGTCAAAGATATTGGGCAAACATTTGAACAGTATCTAATGTTTTCATGCCTTTTGTGATGCTACTGTGTAAGTTACTAAACTGTTTTGGAAAATAGGTCACTGAAGAATGTATAGTCTTGCATATACAGATATACTTGTATTGAAACACTAACAATAATTCACAAAACTTGGAAGCCTACACACTGATGACCTACATAAAGAAAAGCTCTTCCTAATTTTATTTCTTAGGCACCTAAATCCAGGGTTGCAAACTTGCATATTTTCTTTCACTCAGACACAGAATTCAAACATCCGTGTCAATCTTTTCTCAACAAGCAGGAAGGAAAGAAGGCATTAAGTCTTTATTTCAGTAGCCTGATGGTAAGGAAATTCATCCAGGTTAAGGGGAAATCATATTTCCTTTGCTCATGTCCCTTTAGAATCCACATGACTGCTGACTCTGCGAGTCTGAGCATGGATGATGGGCTGGGAATTATTCCACCTTTTGTTCTGAAGCCGAAATGATTCCCTTTTGTATGGAATAATTTAATATCAACTGTACCAATCAAAAGAAATAACACTATGACCTAGCAATCTGAGTACCGTTCATCCATGCTGAGGAAAAGAAAATTCTGTCCTTGGTCCGCAAATATTTAATATGAAATGCTTAAATATGTAATTGTCTCTTCATTATATACGGAATGTTTTATATGTTGAATAGTTTAAAATATTTGTACATTCTGCTATCTAATACTAAAGCATTAGATTGGGCTTCATGAAGCCTAATTTCAAATCTATGGCCCTGTCTAGAAATATCTGAGCAGGGCCTCTGTATGTGACTATTCAGTTTCTGTTTGTCTTGCAAACTAAAATTTCTACTTCCAGAAATCAGGGAGAATAGAAGAAAAGTGTGTGTGTGTGTGTTATCTGTACTTATCTGTACTCAAGTCTCATTTTATATGGAGTAAAAGGAAATCCCCATCTAACAATGCAGCTGTAGCTTTAACGACAACTCTTTTCAACCTTGGAGAAATCACTTTATCTCAGTTCTCACCTGTTACAGTTTTGCTTATTTAAACTATAAGCTCTGCGGAGCAGAAAACTTCTCCTATTACATGTAAAGTATTTTGCAAGAAATTGCATACTCTGTAATCCTGATTATTGCTTGAACCAGTAGATGTTACTTTTGTATCAAAAAAAGGTCAGGCTAGACCACCAGGTAATGAAAGTTGTTGCCATTTGATTTTTTTTTTTTTTTCTTGCTTGTGTGAAAGAAGAGTGCTCTCAGTTCAGTTCACGGTAAGTCCACAGTCCATCAGAAAACCACAAATCCATTCTACTGTGATTCTAGACGATCACTTCCCACAGAGACGTCAGGAGCCAAAAGGACATCAGTGTTCTCAGGCCTTGAAATTACTCCTCCAGGGAAAAGGGAGGCATGTTGGGGGCTCTGTCTGTATTGCACTTTTATTGGCAAGGAAGGTTTATCCAAAAGGCTGATGATTCCATACAGAAACTTACTGATTCCCATAGCTAACTCTCCTTGACTTCAAAACGACCCAGTTTTACTTTCTGGTTTTAGTTACGATTGTTGGTAGATTATAACTTACGGAAATAAAGGAAACTGCACATTACAGCATGTCCTCAATCCTAATGAATTTCTATTAAAATTAATTTAATTTTTTTAACCATATAATCTCCTACAAATAAAATGCTACGAATTACAAAATGAAGAAATGAAGATGTTTTCCAGGAACTTAATCTGCATTAGGCAATAGGTGATAAAAAATCAGGAGGTAAGACATAGACTATTTCTAGTTTTACATAATAGAGTCCACTCTGCTGATTGCCATCTTATTATTTTGCATCAAAGGTTAAATAAAAGATATTTTTTCCAGCTATTACCCTAGAAATGAACTGAACACATGAAGTACATAAAAAAAGGTAAATTGTAAAAACACGCACATACATTCACCTGTATTTCTTTGTTACTTTCAATCCATCTGCTCATCATTGAACTATACATATGTAACCCCACTTTGTATTATACAGTATCCTCCTAGCTCATAAAATATTGATTCAGGATTTTTTATCGTATATCTTGAACTTTGATCTTTCATACTTAGTGCTGCCTTGATGAAATATTTAGAAGTACAACATTTTCCATGTGAAAGGTAAATTTAGAGGTTTTATATGGTAGCCTCTGTTAATGCACTAGCTTCAACCCACCAGAGACTCAAGCTGAACTATGTCGTGGTCACATTTAGTTGAAAATTGAGTTTACAAAAATCCTCCATGCCAAAGAAACGTTTTTTTTAAGGTAAAGGTCAGTTTTGTGACTTGGGTGGCATAGGCTTACCATACTTCCTCACCAGGCACATTGAGAGAGCCTTGATAAGATATATTCAAAGAGCTGACTTTAATAGTTACTTCCCAGTGGATAAAAATGTATTATTTATGTAATAAAACAAGACCACCAACTGAAAAAACCCAACAAACTAAACCAAAAAAACATTCTATATACATTTATAGGCATTGAATCTTATCAAGTAATTTTGCCAAAGCAAACAAAACTACTGCAACATCTCCTTTACAAATTTATTAATTCATATACTCAGAAGAAGAAACAAAACATTCTTCTGAGGTTGTCAACTGATAAAGTTTCAGTTCATAGCTCATGGCTGACTGAATTCAGCATTTATGAACATGCAAGGTCCAGCTAAAGCTTTTTCAAGGTCTGGAGGACTCACAAGGGTTCTGTCCACCACAGTTTCTCTGATAGCTGGTAGGAGCCTTTCTGCCAGTATAAGTTTCTTGTCTCTATCTAGTCACTAACTTTCATGAAACCTGTAGAAACTCAACTAGTTTTGAGACCTTTATCTTCTTGCTGTATTTGATTGAAAGGTGTTTTGGCTGAAGACTTCCCAGGTTCATAGGGACGGGGAGATAGGGTGCCATACACATATCCAGAGTAAGCACAAGCACCTGCTTCTGTTCTATTATAGCTGCATAAATCAGGATATGATACTGAAATCAATGAAGCAGTATATATTTAAGAAAATGAATGAAGAATACAAAGATAATTGCTACTGTTTTGTTTTATATTTCAAAAATAGGACTTCGTATTGCCAATTTTGAATACGCTGCACACAGCTCTTGGTTAAGATAAGCTGTTTGGACAGACAGAAGTGAAGAAGCAGAGAAAACAGTCTTGAGGTTTTATCACTCTGAACTTTAAATTCACAAAATTTTGTGTTTGGGAGATGCTACCAAGGAGAGAAGTTTCTGTATACAGCACACTATTTTTGATAGGAGATTTTTTTTTTAAATCAGAAAAGTAATGTGAAGACTGGAGTCAGTGTTGTAATTGATATGCAGAACTGGGATTTACTTCAACTTTAATCACTTAGAAGTTACAACTCTACTAGTTTAATCATCTAGACTTTCCTCATACTCAGTGGGGAAAGATACATGGGAGGATTTAAACTCACAAAATGACTGTCTTTTCACAGCCTAAGGATTTGATGCCTACATATTGAGCTTTTAGATGGACAAAGTTAGGTCAGAAGCATCTCAGCCTTACAGAGCAGCTAATTGAATCTGTTAACATTGGGATGAATTTTCATTATTCATAAGATCCATAGATTTGTTCTAGTAACAACATTAAATCCTTTATTACCTGGAGAAGGCAAATTAAGTGGTAATGTCTGAGGACTGTGGCCTCAAACACTTTTAGCAAAATGGCAAGTTTGCTTCTTTTTATAGTTGGTTTTTGCACTAGATATAAAAGATGTTCTCCAGATGCCAGAAAACCAGCATACCAAGTAATCTCTGGGTATGTACCTAAACGTGTGTAAATGACAGGAAAGGTAAGAATAAAAGGATAGAAAAGGGAAATAAATATAGTTTGCTGCAAGACTCTCTATCTCAGCTTTATTTAAGAGATTAATAATGGCTGTATCACTAAGTTCAGAATTTCATGGAAATGAAATAATGAAACCTTACAAGAAAGTCTTCAAATTAAAGTACATGCTATCTACCAGACACCTAGCCATGTATTTCATTCAAAGTATTTCTATAGATTGTTAACATAAACTCATTTTCACATGATGCAACATCTGTGTTTATTTTACTGAGACTGCTGGAATGTTAAAAATAATCCATTTAAATTTGTGTCATACAAACATTCTGATAAAAAAAAAGAAGATATCTCAGAGAAAACCTGAAGACCTGTAATTTTTATATGCAATGAATTTTCTATATGTGTTTCTTATGTCTACAACAGATCTTTCTTTAAAAAAACCTTAATGATGGTTTTGTTTTGTATTTTTACCTACTCTGCCAGCTTCCAACGTAAGAAAGTTTTGGTGCAGAAGAAATACACTATACAGAAGCACAGAGATCTGTCTTACCTTCTGGCTCCCTGATCTTACGTCCTGCTGCAGATTTTCGTAGTACGCTCCGTCCTGAGTTGAACAAGCTAGTTAACTCATCAAGGGGACTGGTCAATGACCTTGAGTTTGTAGGGCTGTATGGAAATGAAGATGACGAATTTGAGTTGAATTTCCTGTGATCTGCTCTTGCCACCTTTGGGGAGTAAGGCAGTTTGGAGAACGGAGAAGGTGAGCATCCAAGCTGAGCAGGATTTGCTCTCTGAGGTACTTTTGACAGGTCTGAGTTTGTACCTGTTTTCCCTGTATTAATCAGAAAACTAGCACAAGTCTCTGGAGGAAATGCGAAATGTGTGGAAGCCCGATAGGAAATAGGAGGTGGTACAGGAGGAGGGGGTGGTGGGAGAGGAGGAGGTGGTGTGGAAGGAGGAGTCACTTTGCTGGAAACATTGAACACAACCAAGCCTGGAGATGCTGGTCTTTCATTCTCCCCTTTCTGGCTTTTGGAGTACTGTGGTGATAATGGACTTGAGCCTTCTGACTGCACAGGGTATTTTAGGTTGGTTTCCAAGACAGGAAGCTTTTTGACTTCTAGTGGTGTTAGAGGTGACTCATCAGAAGCAGGTGAACATGTGACAGGGGTTGGAGGAAATACAAGAAGTGGTGGCCTGTGGGGGAGCAAGTTAGGGAAAGGGGCTGGAATGTCACATGAGTCTTTACATGAGACCAAAGCTGCTTGACTGTTTCCATCCAGTGTTCCATCTTCAACGTTAACATTTTTCTTGCTTTCGAAGAACAGAGGAGGAGATCCGGTCACTACCGGAATTATTGCACTACCATTGCTCCCTTCTTCTGGTGGAAAATACTTCATTTCTTCATATACAGACTCTCCTTGTTCTGGGCTTTCTGCTTCAGCAGAACTGGTTTTCATTGCATTCCCTACCATTTCAATATAGACAGGCTCATTTTCCTCCTCTTCTTGTGACATATAGAGACTCAGCACACCATGTTGTGGCCCATCAGCAGAAGCTGCTCTCTGCACTGTCGCAGTGTCATAGCCACCTGGTTTAGCTACTGTGCTTCCCGGTTTTACATCCCCAGGCTTTTGGCCAGGTATTTCTTCATAAGAGCCACTAAGTTTCGTATTGGGACTTCGTTTTGGTTTTCTGGGAGGTATTTTTTTCATGGTACTATAGTCATCACTGTGTGGCCTTGGACGGGTCAGTACTAGGAAAGTGAAAAAGGTCTGTGTTATTAACAGATCAAAGTCAGTTTTTTCTTACACAGGTCCAGCACGTTAAGCCTTCAAATGTTGCCCATATAGTTTTACAATGAGCAGCAGTCACAAACACAGGGATTCAGTCAAGTACAAGTATTTCGAGGAACGAAATGCATAACTTTCAGCTTCCACACCACAAGCCTTCGCTACCTGGGCATACAATCAGCTTTGGTGATCTCTACTGCCACTAAAAGATGAGAACTAACATCTGAGGAGATATCTTTTGTATCCAAATGTTCACTGCAAGGTCTGTAACACATGGAAATATGTGCTTGTTACTCCTTTGGCACCAGGGGAGGGTGGCATGCTTTTAACTAGGAGTTTCAGCATGGTGCTACTTTGACACACATGTTATTGCCAGAAACTGAAGTATCCCCCTTTTATCTAATCTATAAAACTCTAATTATAGGCAGATATTATGCCCATCTCTTCTTCTTTTGTACTGCAGGTGTGGAAATAATTTATAAAGCTAGGAAATCCCGTAGCCTAAGGGCAATTCCCCAACTCAGTATACAGTTAACTAAACCAGATGTCTTTTCACAGCCTCCAGGCACATATGGAGTGGAGAGACTAGATACCTAGGTGATTGGTCTTTTAAGATCAAAATTAGATGGTGTAAATCAGAGCTGGTTTTTGGACAAAGGCTCTGGAAACTGACATAATTCTTAGAAAATGAGTATACAGTAGGGAAACTGGCCTTGTTGTTTCACACATACGAGAAGAATTCCAAAGTCGTTTTGTGAGTGTATATAAGCATTAGTGTTAAGACCACACATACATATAAAAATTGTCATTCTTTCAAAAACCTCTGCTAGAGCTTTTTGGTTAAATCAATCATGTCTTGCAGATCTGGGCACAGAAAGCCAAAACTGCTGCAGAGCTCCTTAAGCCACACTAATTTAAAAGTATATTGGACACATTTCATCTCTCTTTACACAGAGCTTGAACAAGCAAGGAAGAGGTTAAGAAAAATGGACTTGCATCTAATGAACTGGACAGGAGAACAGTGATTATTTTGCAAGAGGGAGCTGCAAAGGTTTCCATCCATCGTATGCAGGATTAGAGAATGGTTATACATAGCTTTAAACCCAGCCTGAAGGATCTTCCCTGATAAGCCTAGAGGATCCTTTACACAAAGCATGACAAGTCAGGCTTACCAAGGAAAATCAGAATGCATTCCTCCCCTTCATCTTCTACTCTTTCATTTCAAGGGTGAAGGAGAACAGAACAACTGAACTCAAAACCGTTCTATATAAACTATAATGCATTGAGACACTTTGGGACTTTCATAGCACTTTCCTTCTAAACAAAAAAATCACTGTAAGCAAGTTATGGCACAAACATAACCACTGAATGCATGTTATTCATGTGAACATAGAGAACAAGTAGGAGAAAGTTTAATGTTTGAGTTGCTGAATTTCAAGATTCGAGCATTCGGTTTAGTGATGCAAAGTATTCTAATATACAGCTTAAAAGGTGAAATAAAATCATCAGTGGGGTGGAATAGCTCAAGTTGACAGAGGTCCTTTGTCTCTAGAGGGAGTTCTGCAAATAGGTTTTGGTTGTTGACAAACTAGGCAATTAAAACACATGAGTATTATTTGATGATTTGGAAACAAATGACAAATTGACTAATTTTATTTACTGCTACTGAAATATTTCAGGGAAGCGGGACTTTTCAAAGGTGCTTGACTGTGCTTAAAAAGATCAAAGTGAAAAGAATAAGTCAATAACCTAGAGTAACATTTGCGACTCTTTCTCCCTTTATGCCTAACCTTCATTAGCGGTTTCCTTAGAAGCTGCCGACAAGCAAGCACTAACAGCCTCGTACGAAGCGCTCAGTCGTGTGTTGGGGTCCCTCTTTGGTTTGGGAGGAGGCTGTTTCCTTGGTGATGGCAGGCTATTGCTATCGTCCATGCTGAACACAGAGTGCAGGGAGGGGGATCTGATGGATGACCCAGCCGCAGAGTGCACCAAGCCGTCCACTGCCATGGGGACAGGGACGGAGCTGGAATGGAAGTGCTTAGGCGTTCGACAGCCGGCAAAGCTGTCCTCAGAGACCTTCCCACCCTTGTCTTCAGCTCTGAAAACACAGAAAAGAGGTCCAGATGCATTATTCAAGCGATAACAATGAACCTGTTCATGCAAGCATAACAACAGCTTTTTGGTAAACAATCTCACAACTCCCCTGCTGTGTGAGGGGATGTGTGTAGTAATCTTCTGACAAACAAATCCAGACCAAGCTGCTAGCTTTCTTCCATTTCCTGTTTCATGATAAATCGGGACACTGGCCCTTTTTTGCACAAATGCAGCCTTCCTTAAGCAGTTTCATATTGTTGATCAGACACTCACTGAATGAATTGTTCACACTTTGATTGCTACACACAATCAAAACCTGGGTTTTCAATCTGAATGATAATTTCTGGGAAATCCATTTTAATAGAAAGTTACTGAGGCAGCAAATGTTGAGCCTTTATCATTATTTTCTAAAAAGACAACTATAAATTCTATTTGGATAATGCAAATCTTTAAAATATTAGATGACCTTTTTAGCCAGCTACCTTGGCTGCTTGAACAATTCCACCCAGATATCTGGATATCTTCTTGTTTAAGCTTAATTATTACTTATCATTTTAATAATATTACTTATGACATTATGTTTAGTTATTTCAATTGCAGTTTTGGAGTTTTACTTATTCCAATTTTTCCTTTTTTTTTTGCTATTTCAATGCTGATTGTGAAACTATATTTATCAACTGCTCCAACAAATCGATTTTTAACAAAAATTCTTCTAACATGTTATCCCTTCAAAAATCAAAACGTTGAAAACCTTCTAACTTAGAGTGGTAATGCACTGGATAGAAGATGTCTATTCTGCGATTTTACAAACAAATCCTCTAGCATTTGTTTTTTTAAATTGTATTTCTGCATGGCAAATCACCAGCAGAGCTGGAATTCATGCACAGGATATAGCCAGCTGCCCATGTAGTAAATGAAACAGCTAAAGATGAAAGCATGGTGCTCAGTGGATAATTTGTTTTCACTGTAATGTTTAATTACAGTCTTTCCTACAAAGGCATTTCCTCCAATATGTAATGACTGGGATATTTGAAGCTAATTAAGCAGATGCACTGCCATTTTCACTTTAATAAAAGTCACTGACAAAAGCAATGAAAGCACTGGGAATTGTTCTGGATGAAAATTAAGTTCCTATGGAAAAATAAACATTTATATCTGCTATAGACACATATCTATTAACTGCAAATTCTACCTCTGCCCATTCAGATGTCTGCGAGAAAAAAGATCAGGGACTCAGTTCCTAGAGAAAGGCTCTCCATCATTTGCTGAATCTGTAAAACAGGCACTCCTGAAAACTCTGATTGGAGTTAAACAAAAACATCTGCCTATTTTTAAATAAGAGAAAAGAATCCTCCTCACAGTGATTTGATCTAGTTCAACACATAATCAGGATTTCCCAATGTTGGAATTTTAAGCTAGAGGAATTTTTCTTTGGTTTGATGAAAGTTCAACTATAAGCTATTTATCTTCAAATTAAAAACAATATTTCTGTAAAAAATAAATGCCTCAGAAACATGAATAAGTTCCTACAGAGCTCAGTGTCCCATGAATAGGATATAAGGGGTGTCCTTAAGTTTCTAGACTTAATTACCTGATAAGCAGAAAAAAATAGTGTCTAACACTTATTTGGGTTGTGTATATACTTGAGAATCCTCTTGCAATTCCTCAGTCATTTCTGTGACTTTCTAAGCAGGGGAAGAAATCACTAAAACTGAAGAAATGCTTTAACTCTTCACAGTAGATGTTTCTTACCTTTTGTGGCCTTCCTCTGGTCTGTTTCTAGCCTCTAACTTTTCCCTGTGGTAAGCAGCGTTCATCTCATTGCGGAGCCGGTCATTTTCCCGGGCAATGTCAGAAGCATTTTGAATGACCAAGGCATCGTATGTTTTCAATCCCATATCCTCAGCGTTCTGCAAGAAGCTTTTGATTGAGGTGACCTCTTCCTGTTTGATGCTCATCTTCTGTAGCAAGCGCTGGCGAGCTAAAAATCCTCTTACAACTACCATAACAGAAGGAAAAATAATGGACCAAAGACAGACAGATAATTAATTAGTGAATAACTTAATATTACTGTCTGTTCTGCTGTAAACATGAGCAAATAAGTTCAGTCAATGCGTTCCACAAAGAATGAAAGAAATGTGACGGCACATAAATAACATACTAAAATGGAACTCTTTCTGTTTTTTTACTGTAAGCGTTTAAAACAAAGTAGTGATAGTAAATCCATTCATAAATTTGAGCTGTCACAACTCAAAATGTTTCCTTTTACTGACCGTTATTTTTTATTACATTCTAACTGGAAACTTGGTTATATGCTGCAGACTGTGAAAGCATATATTTACACTGCAAAGGTCAAAAGATCATTTGTTTCCAAATAAAACCCTGAATAACTGGTTGTTGCATTGAATGGAATAGGAATCAAATGATCATTTGTTTTTGATCAACTTAAAAATTGCTTTAAATATTTCAGTGTATCTAAAAAAAAAATCAAAACCGACACAAGATTTTTTAATGACATTTAAAGACCTTTTGTTGCTCATTTCCTTTCAGCAAAAACAATTAGATTATTTTAATGCAAATTTCTCAAATGTATCTGTCACATCACATCTGCTTTTTTCAGTTTAAAATTTTCATCTGCATTGCATCAGCTTTTTGTATCTATTAGGCCTATTTTTCACACTCTTTGTCAGCCTTATGTTGGCAGAAGATTTTGGTGCATCTCCTATAATAGCTTCCTGTATTACTTTCCTAAGTATGTACATTCATTACAACAAATTCTACTCAACCTAAGTACCACCTAGACCCTGAATTTTCAGAAGTACCCAGCTGATCAGAAACACAAGGCACAGGGACCTCCATGGCCATGAGGCATTCAGCACCAAATTAATGTCTCCATCTGCAACGGGATGGTGTTAGTATTCTCTGAGCATATGTTTCGGCTTAGAAGGAAGAGATAGGCTAACTAAAGGTGCTTTATGTGTGTTGTGGGTTTTTTTAAGTTCCACAAGATCCTAACTCTTTCTAGATCTGGAACAACTGCTCTGTACTTCACAGGGGAGAACCTGTTTTAGAATTGTTCACCTGTTGCCTGAAATATTGTTGATTTTCAGTACATGAACTTACATGTATCAAAACCAGGTCAAACTTCATCATTGCTTATTATCGTTACTCTCATTCTGGTCACTGAAAGTTTTTCATAAATGAACTCGGCAGGCAATAGCGTGTATAGGATGCTGGTTTGAGTTTCAGGAAAAATAGTGAAAATACTAATATTAAGATTGGAAGATAAAAAATGCTAAAATTCATTAGACCTTTTTATCAATGTAATTAAATTTCAGTCTTAGGAACACTGCAGAACAACATCAAACAACAAAGAGTCAAGCTGAATTAATCTAAAGGAAAAATGTAAGCAGAGAAAGGTACAATTAGTCTGAATGTAACATGTTATTAAATAAAATAACGAGCTAAAACAGAGGGCGATGTAAAGTATTTTCCACAACCTTCTATGTCCTTGTTTAGATATTTAAAATAAGATTTTTTTAAGAGATGTTTAGTGCCCAGCTGATTAAATAAAAGAAAGTTTAATGTTAACATACTAATATTGCTCCTATCCAAAATTCACTGGGTTTGGAAATATTCAAGTTCAGGTACTTTGAGATTAGTTATAATGGACAACTTTGAAGGTTTACATTTTTATAACCACAGCCAGACATCCCATTTTCAATCCCTTTAGTTACATTCTTTAAAATATGACTTCTTTAAACCCTGAAATATTAATGCACTTACTCAATTTGGTTGAAAAGGAAATTAAGAGTACAGTTATTTGTTGACAATTTTATGAGTATTCACATTGGATAGGCATGTTACTGAGTCTGAATTCATAAGGTTGCTGTTGCAAAGGTAATAAATACATGCATAGAACATTATCAGAGTTTACTGCTCACAAATATGAATAATTCAAAGAGCTTAATAATCAAAAATTGTTCCCTCACAGTATTTTCTTTAAACTTATCTGCTGCAGAGGAGGATGTTTGACAAATGGTTAAGCATCAAATCCTGGATGACTTTGGAAAAAAACACTGCATTTAACACAACATTTTTACAAGTATGTGTGTATGTGTGTACTTTTACATTGACAAAAAATAAAGGGTCAGTAACACCACTAAGGCTGATTAGGAAAAGGAAATTCCTAAAGGAAATTTCCTAAAAGGAAAAGGAGGTCAATCCTCTGCTAGGATTGTTAGCAGGCATGAATGATGCAGTAGTCTGCTAGGATGGTCCAGTAAAATGATAGCCAGTACAGCTAGCTGTAGCATTCAGCTACTCTGAACTATGTACTTTCATCAAAATTGAGATGTTTTGAAGAAACATTCAACAAAGTTTTGTCAGGAAGGGTTGGTTGGCAGACAGACACCCCTCTTTTCTTTTGCACACCTTTTAATGAACCGAGTAGCTCAGGTTTTCATTAGAAGATGGACATTTCACCACATTTCCTTCTCTATGAGAACGTTTGAAAGATTTTGTCTTCAGTTCATCACAGAACGCAAAAACAATTTCATAACCTCAAAAACTGCTGTGAAATGAAATCGTCATCTCTTAGACCTTTACTTCTCAGTTTCATCTACTACTTTATGGGTACTAAGATTGTCTTCTGAACTTGCTCCTCATTTCTGTAGATCTAAAATAATTCTCACTTATGCAAACTAAAATAATTTAAGTTAGTACCCACAGGGCAGAAAAATATCTACTTCTTTACAGTTCATCTAAGGATAAGAATCAGAATAATAAAAATTCAAGTAGTCCTTCGTTATGTGATAAATGTATTAACTATTGTGTAAACAATGTATTGAACTTAATTCCTAATCTACATGAAGTCTGATGGAAGAACTTCACCATGATGGACTTTCTTACAGGTACGAACATTTTTCTCTGTGATTCAATAAGGTCAAAAATTCCCATATGTAGCTCTCATACCTGTGAAAAAAATATGACAAAGTCCCTAAATTCACAGATTCAATTTTAAATATGCTGTGTTTCTACACATGCTTTCACTTTAGTGTGACCCCTTCTTTTGCCTGTGTAAGTTAACTTTCAGGATAACAGAAAAAGACTTATCTGGTTTGTTTTGGTTTGGTTTTTTTTCCCCAAATTTATGGGCATGCTGAAAGGATTGCTAGTAAGACTGAGGTAAAAACAGTGGATAAGAATTTTGGGCAAGACCTGTTTTCCCTTTGAGTTAAGTCCTTATCTGGCTACATGTTATTACATTTTAAAGCTGATACAGAAATTATTGACTAATTTGGCTATTATTCAATATGCTATCAGGAGAGATTTAGCTTCCAAAGTCCTCTGCATGTAAAGGATGAGGGGAGAAAGATGTGGCTATGCAGCAGGACTGATGCCATTACTCACTAAGCATCACCATCCCAGTGTAAAAGTCTATGGATCCCAATTTTAGGGTTATGTAAGAACAGTGCACAGGAACCCTATCCTATTCCCAACCTGCCAGAGCTCTCTGGCATGCTAATTCTGCAAATTTACAATTGTACCTGTTTGCAAAGGGCAGCTTATTTCATGAGCTAATGTCGTGAAATGGATGTCTAGCTACTCCTTACTCATACAAGTTTGCAGTTTTCTCAGGTTTCCCAGACCACAAAAAAACATGCAGGTGAGCCATAGCTTTGAAAAAAGCTTTGAACACATAGTTTTGGTGAGAATGACTTTTCAAGTTAGCCTAATTAAGGAGGGCTAGAAGCAAAAACAAAAGAAATTTTTTGTAAGGAGCCAAGAAGACCTATTATCATCATTCTTCAGGCAAGGTTTGACAGATGTCTGTTCTCTTACGTCTGCAAAACATGGATATATCTGAGGATGCTTTGCATTTTTGGTGTAGGGTTACATTAAAGCATTCCATTTGCAAATCAGACACTGAAAGGTAAATATTTCCTTTCTTTGATAAGTCA